TGTATCAATGTCGAAAAATATTTTAAAATATTATTTTTTATTTACATTTACAATCTATACTTTTTCTACAATATTCATTTTTACATATATTCTTTTTCAAATATTTTGAAAATGTTAGATTTAGCAATACAGTCTATAAGTTTGTAGTATTACAATTTTTTTTTCTTAAATTTATGCTACAACCTTAATTGTTAATACAATTTTGTTCCATGGATTAGGGAAAAAACATTAACAGTATTACACTAGATTTTTAAGGTATTTACTTAACAACATAATAAAAAACTAAATAGACAACCAAAAGATATTTCTACTAATTTTTACACATTTATATAAAATTAACAAAATTAACACATCAAAACTATACTCGCTAGCAAAAAAATTAAGCCATATAATTTTATTTTAAAAAAAACAGAAATTTCTACTAATTTTTACACATTTATATAAAATTAACAAAATTAACATAATATAAATAAGCCATATAATTTGTTTTAAAAAAAAAATAAAAGAAAATATTTCTACTAATTTTTACACATTTATAAAAAATTAACAAAATTAACATATCAAAATTATACTCGCTAACAAAAGAAAAATTAAGTCATATAATTTGTTTAAAAAATAGTTTTATGGCTGCATATAAATTTATTAGCTAACAATAAATAAATTAATACATATAATTTCTAAAAAAAAACTATTACTGCATATATTATCTTTTAGATGATGTTAATGAAGCTAATAACGGCATGTAAAAAAAGTTAATTATTAAGTAAGTAAATAGAATATATATTATAATAGATGTATTGATAATATAAATGAATTAAAACTTAAAAATCTATTTTTATTTTTACTTGTATTGTGGGCCTTTTATGTAATTTGTCAAAACAATTGGAGTCAATTTTAAAAGATCCAACGCATTTTATGCGTTCAAATGCATATTTGTGTTTGAACAAGGAGAGAGAAACCAAAAGACTCATTTTGCGATTGCGTTTGGCGTTCGATTGGGCAATTTTTACTGTATTTTTTGCGTTTTGAGTATCAGCTGGAGAAGGTCTTATTTATAAGATGAAACATCTTTGTTATATTAAAAGGTCATGCTTGCCACAGTTAGCATCCTTATATATAAGATGAAACATCTTTTTTATATCAAAAGGCCATGCTTGCCAAAATTGCTAACCTTGCTCAATCTCTTGAAATAAGATACTTTCAACTTTCATCAAACAAGAAATTATGGTTCGATTATAAGTAATTTTACACTTTACATCACATGTGTATTACATGGTTGCGTGTTAAAAAATTATATTTAAAATAAAAAAAATATTTTAATTTTTAAATTTTTTTTCTAAACTACGTTATCATTTATGTTTAAAATTACACCCATTATTTATACAACTTCCATCTTATATTAAAAATGTTGCACTTAAAATATCAGATCATGAAAACTCTCATGGATAGGATAATGTTGGATATTCGACCTTATCCATCGTTTATTATCCTTGACCAAGCTAAAGACTATTCCGACGTGGCATGTGGAGCCCACGCAGAAATTATATATTTGCCGATCACATCTGTCCCGACTTGGAGGTGAGATATTTTTTATCCATCATGCCCAAAATATGAAAGTCCACTTTTGTCCCTAAAATGGCATGCCAAAGGACAAAAAAACCATTGTATGTTGATTTAATTACAAGAATGGATATATAAATATTTTGCTCGTCTTCTTCTCCAACGTTCTCACATCTTTGTCAAGCCAGGTTTCCTTCTTCTCCCTTCTTCTCTATGTGAATGCTCCGCCGACTTCTGGCGACAGAAACCCCAAACCCAGGTTCCTTATTCAGTTCACCCATCGGATTCATCTAAATTTTATCGATTATTTCTCGAAATTTCCGTGTTTCAGATTTGACGAGATTTGACGACATGGGTTGTGAGGAGAATTGACGAGTTATGGTGTTTTCTGTGAGGAGATTTGACGACATGTGTTGTGCGATTGAAGATTTTGTTGCTCAGTTTATGTTTCGAATTTGACGGAATTCGTCTTAATAGGTCAGTAATTTGAGGATTTAGTAATTTTAGGTTTCCTTTTCAATTCACCTTATTTTGTGCGATTGAAGGTTTTGTTGCACTGTTTCTGTGAGCATAATATATGTGAAAAGAGAATCTTGATTGACCCCTTTTGTTATACTTTTTCTTCCTTATTTTTTGATTCCCCCTACATTACGTCTACCAAACAAGAAACAGAGCTTCTCATTCGAGAATTGAAACTTTCAAATAAGATTATAAGTTGTGATTTATTATTTTATTAATGTTGGGAAATGTTTCCACAGAATCCTTTATATGAATCCTTTATTATTTGATACATAAAGCTCATTGTTTAGAGGATAGGATTAACTCGACAACCTACATTCTGTGGTGGTTGTGGGAGGACGAGGAATAATTGATTTTTAGAATGGAGACATTGCATGAAAAAGAGACTGTTGATGGAGCTGTGAAGGATTGACAAGAATTTGGAAAAAAAGAAAAATAAGACTCTGCTAATGCATGCAAAATAAATATTGATAAATTTGATTTTTCTAAATAATGTGGAAATGATTTGAATTGAAAAAATAAAGGAGAAAGAAAAGGTGATTCTTAAATTATTTCAGCCAAATTATGACAAGGGTAAAGTTGTCATTTTGAAAAATATCATAAGTTTTTATCTTGCTTAGTAAACCCAAAACTATTTCCATTAAAAATCATCTTATTGGTAAACAACGAATACATACCCCCCTTAAAGAGTATCATGGATTAAACAGTCTAATCCCATCAACTTTTGTAAACGAGGCCCCAAAGGATGGAAGCTCAAACATGTTAAAACAAGGCCCACTAAGCACAGTAGTCTCTTGCGAGTGGCCCAAGGTACATGGATCATTTGAATTGGGAAGGATAATGCATCCTACCATCCAGGGAAAAATATTAAGACAACAATTGATGGACATGAAAATAATGTTCAATCTCTAGAAATAAGATGAGAAAATTATATACTTTCTCTGTGGAGTGCAATGCCAAATACTGATCAATTCAAAATCATTTAAAAACTATTGCAGATTCATAATATCAAATAGATATCTCGACATCAATTCAAACAAATTATACTCAACATTCTGCAATTGTAATGTTTTGTAACTCCCAACATATGAAAGAGCCAAACAGACAAAACACCACAACAAAATAGAGAAAAGCTGAAGGAGGACCTGTCAAACAATCCATTTCTCCACTTCACTTCTCTGATGAATTTGGACCCCTCTTTTTACCAAACCCAACGACTGCACGAAATTGGAAAAAACAAATGCAAATTCCACATTACAAATCATAAACAACTAGAAAATATTGTATATATTTGATATAAATTAAGGTCAAACAAGCAAACCCCAAGTAAAGATATTTTTTCTCCTCTACGGGAAATGCCCTCTAAGCCATTGGATATAAATTATGTCCGGCTTCATTTGCCCGATAATTTTTTTTCCTTGAAACTACCATTCAATACAAACAAAATACACATTATACACATTATACATCAGTTGACTGGACTTCAGTGCAAAGTGATTTATTGGGTTATGATAGGAAGGCAAATCAATTTAGGGGTTGTAATTCTTGATTGCTTACGTTTCTTTCTCATTAATTCCGGTTCTCGTCGCATTCTCTCATTTCCTTGTTTTTTGTGGTCTTACTTGAGCTTTATTGGGTTGTCTGTTAACCCGCACTTTGGAGATGTCTTAGTCAATCCCAGTCGTCCCCCCACTGTCACGTGTTTGCTCACTGAATGAGCCTTCCACTCCTAAGGCTAAGCTTCATGTTGAGGCTATTGGTGTTCCTGCGAGTTGGGAGGATTTCATCACTCAGCAGATGAATGTGTGGACAAGATGGTTAAGAAGATTTTTGTTCAGCAGAGTTACCTCAAGCATGTACTGAAGACGATTAAAGGTCACCGTCGTTCGTCTTTTGAGATAGGCCCTTCGGCATCTAAGAGTTCGAAAAAGAAGGAGAAAGGTGATAGAGATGATGTGATGGATGAGGACTGCTCGATGATCTACTGTTGCTGCTTGTTTACTTGTTTTTGAGTGTCTTGAGAGACGTAGTGAGATCTTATGTGTAAGAACTTCGTAATAACTTCGGTGGTTGGTTGTTTGCTTTTTTTTTTTCTTTAAATTTTTCTGTGGGGATATAGACTATTAATCGTTTGTCTAGGGTATGTTCCTATGTTTGAATATTTGTAGGTTTGTTGGATTTTCAGAAGACTTATCTTACTTTGTCAGATGAGATGTATTCTAACCCTTGTATTCGAACATAGTTGTTTGTTTGCTTGTTGTTTCTTGAACTTGTGTTGTAAGTCATGTTCCAACTTTAAGTTGTAGATCAATTTTATATTAATTAAAAAAAATTAAGTATGGAATGCTTTAATTTTTTTAATAAGTCACGTTTAAAGGATTGTATATCTTTATATTCCTTGAAAATTACTTAGTTTTAATACATTTGTATAATTTACATATTTTAAAATATTAACATCAGCAACTAAATGTGGAAAGTTATTCAGATTTATCATTTAGTTGAATATTGAAAAGAAAAGAAGGATGGAATATAAATTGCAAGTTCTCACGACTCAGTCCGCATGTATTAGTTTAGTGGACTTGAATAAATTCGCCACCATATTTTTGGAGTTCTATTCAGTTGACACTAGTATTCGACCTGCACAGTGTAAATAGATTATTATAAGTTATATTTATGCATATAGTATTAAAATTATTAGTTATACAATGATATTGTATTTTAAATATAGAGTATTATAAGTTATATTTATACATATAATAATAAAAATAAAAATTAAATAATAATATTATGTTTTAAACTTTGATACTTTAAAAAAAAAAAATCAGGTATTTCATAGTTATCCTTTAGCAATGGTTCATAAAATGTAATTAGGTGTTGATAATTTTTAAATTTAATAAAATGTATTGCCATTTTGGTCTTGGAAATAAAGTAAGAATTGTAGAAACATAATGCTATTATATGTGTGATGGTTAAATTCCTTCTGTACAAATTTTCCTTTCAAAGCAAAGACCACCAAAATCTCAAAACCAACCCCAAAAACTTACATAAATTACAGAACAGAACCCCCAAACTCTTCTCAACTCTCTCAATTACATTACACCATTTCAAAGAGAGAAGAGATGATAATAACTATTCCTCAGTCCACAAAACTTGAAACCTCTCAATTTAACTACACAACAGGCTCATTTTTTTCTCCCTTTAGTTACAACTTACTAACTCAAAGAAAATTTGAGAACTCTCATTAAAACCTCAATTAAAATATAAATATATGCACAACTAGACAAAACACACGATCCTGTCGCGGTCGAGACATTCGAAGCCCTCAACTCTGAAAACCGGGTTATTGCCAAAATTTGCACCGGAATAATTTCCGGGCTTGCAGGCTGAGGATGAAGGGAAGTGGGCCGGGCCCAAAGGGGTGGGGATCGTGCGTGGTGGGCCCATGGTGAATTTCGTGTTCCCAAATTGGGAGTCTTGAATTAGTGGGTTATTAGATACTCTGCTTGGAGGGGACCCGCAAAAAAATGGGGGTGACGAGGCTATTGGTTCGGCCGGTTGACTCGAATCACAATTAGTATTAGAGCCCTGTCGGAATTTAGAAAGTTCGAGATCTTTTTAGGATTAGATAATTAGTTAGAAACTTAGAATTTATTAAGGCTATGTTTGGTAAACAAAGCTGATAATCTAGTTTATAGTTTTAAAGTAAATTACGAGCTTATAGCTGATAGTTTATGATTTATGGCCGAAAAGCTAATTTAAATGATAAAAGTGTCAAGTAAAATTAGCTGATAAGCTAGAAATAAAAGTTTCAATTGACTTATTTGAAAAGCTTCCCAAAGAACCTTATGAAATAGGATCGAGCTTTTTTAAAAAAATTGATCCTACCAAACTAAACGTATTTGAATAGAGAAAGATTATAAGCAAATCAAATAAGTTATAAGCTAACTTATATGCTTGCCAAATTCCACCTCTAAGGCAATTAAATTGAACCGTAGAAACTTTGTTTCGGTGAAATCAAGACAGTTTTTTTATTTTTTATTTTTTAAATTGTTTTTCATTTTATTTGGGTTGTCTAAGCTAACCACATGTGTAGTATTTATTTGCAGGGACTGCTAATGTAAAGTGGTAAAGAGTAAATGGATTTGATTTGACACATATGTTCAACAAAACAAATTCAAAACCAAGATTGCAATTGAAGGGAACAAACAAACCTTTGTTAGGATGATGTCCAGGAGTTCATTTCCAGCTTTTGCATCAAAAACTTCTTGGTGAAGGCTGTGTTATCATCTCAGTAAGAATGAAACCAATAATCAGTAGCCAAAAGTGGTCCAAAATACAAATTAAATAATCACTAATTAAAATAAAAAGTACTTACAAAAAAATAAATAAATAAATAAAAATTACCTCGAGTGGCAGTGCAGGGGTCTGACTTGGGAAGGTTCGGTTAGGGTAGCATGAAGCAAAGCGAGCCTTCGTGGCTTAGGGCAAACCACGTGTTCTTTTTTCTCCATAGATCTGTAAGTGGCAGCAAAACTTTTCTGCTGAATAGCCAAGTGATTCATCTTCCTATCTCTCCAGATATTGAACTATAAACAACTAACCTGTTTATTGCAAA